ATTCTCCCGCACCAGTTTTTTTTCACCCATTAGTGGAAATACTTCAACAAAAAGAAATCCCATCCTCAAGGTTTTGGTTGCTCTCGGGTAGAATTGATATATAAAGGATTCTAGAGGCAACCTAATCTTACTGCTATGGACCACCACATATACCCAGGCATGGGTGTCCAGGGATTAAAAATCACAATTTCAGTCTTTCTTCTAACATAGGCCTTTCGTGCTAATGAGTAAAACGAAAGCTTGGTAGAGTAGGGTTTTTTATGTAAACTATTCCTCTGTGGGGATCAACATCTATTTATATAGACTTCCAGATGGAAACAAGAGAGGAAACGGAGTCATTTTTAAAAATTGAACAAAATTTCTTGTAATTGAAGACAGAGTCCAATTTGAAAAAGTCACTAAATTGTAACTAGCATAAAATAAACACTTACACTGAAAAACATCCTTGTGCAATCCTAGAATGTCAAACAGTAAGGAAATATGCTTAAAGTGTTGAGAGAGAGAGAGAGAGAGAGAGAACTGAAACTAATCAGCAGCAGCACAAGAGTTCAACAGAGAAATAGAAACCCTAGAATAACACCTGCAAAGTTGGAAAATAACTCTGAACCTACTTCATATTAGTCAAATAGAAGAACAAAAGTAAAAAGACAAACAGGTATGAAAGAACTGGGGACTTTTCCCTCACAGCTGGAAAACACAAAACATGATTTAAAGATGTACTCCAACAAGCAATCATAAAAGACTCAACAAATAAGACCTAGGCTCTGAAAAACAAACCATAACCCAGTGTTCTGGCTAATTTTATGTCAACTTGACAAAAACTAGAGTCCTTTAATCCCAGCACTCAGCAGGCAAATCTCTGTAAATTCAAGGTCAGTCTGGTCTACAAAGTGAGCCCAGGACAGTCAGGGCTGTTACACAGAGAAACAAACCCTGTCTCAAAAACCAAAAGCAAAAAAAAAAAAAAACAAAACAAAAAAAACAAAAACAAAAACAAAAAAAGCAGAGAGAAACCTGGTGCTAGGAAAATTCCCAAAAATCCACAAGGATGACCCCAGCTATAATGACTCCTTGCAGTAATGAAGAGGGTGCCTGAACTGGCCTTCCCCTATAAACAGATTGATGACTACCCTAATTGTCATCACAGAGCCTTGTAGCATGATTAATTAAAACTCAGAGAGGGAAATTGAGGTTCAACATGAAGGTCAAAAAAGTACCGGCTCTTACCTCGACCTCAGTCTGAAATAGTGATCGTGCCTCCTGGAATCTCAGAATGAGACTGTGTGTGAGAGTTGTCTTCTCCCATTTTATAAGCCTCTCTAGGCTGGGATTAAAGGCACGCACCACTGGGATTAAAAGCATACTCTGCCCAGTTTCTATGGCATCTAGAGTGGCTACTGGGATTAAAAGTGTCTGTATATCACCACTGCCTGGTCTGTAAGGCTGACCAGTGGGGCTGTTTTACTCTCAGATCTGCAGGCAAGCTTTATTTGTTAAAATACAAATGAAATGCCACTATAGAGTCTTCATCCAGTAACTGAGGGAACTAGATGCAGAGATCCACAACCAAGCACCAAGCTGAGCTCTGGGAATCCAGCTGAGAGAGGGAGGAGGGAATGTATGAGCAAAGAAGGTCAAGATGTATAGCAAAGGAGCTATAGATTTCATGATAGAGAAATCTATAGAGACAGCTGAACCAAGCCTGTGGGAACTCATGAACTCTAGACTGACAGCTATGGCGTCACCATGGGACCGAACTAGGCCCTCCATATGTGGGAGACAGTAGTGAAGCCTGGATTATCAGAGGAGCCCCTGGCAGTAGGACCAGGACCTATCCCTGGTGCATGAGCTAGCTTATTGGAGCCCATTCCCTATGGTGGGATGCCATGTTCAGCCTTAATGCAGGGGGAGAGGTTTGGCCCTTCCCCAACTTAATGTGCCAGACTTTGTTGACTTCCCATGGGAGCCCTTACCTGTTGGGAGGAGTGGGATGGGGAGTGGGTTGCGGGGAAGGGGGGTGTGAGAAGAGGAGTGGGAGAGAAAACTGTAGTTGGCATGTAAAATGAAATTTTAAAAAATTAATAACTTTAAAAAAAACAGAAAGGAAAAGAGGCTGTGGAAGCCTTGAGGAGCAAGCCAGTAAGCAGCTCCCTCTGTGGCCTCTGTACCAGCCCCTGCCTCCAGGTTCCTGAGACCTGTTTGAATTCCTGTTCTGATTTCCCTCAGTGATGGGAATGAGACTTGAGAGATGTAAGCAGCAATTAACCCTTTCCTCCCCAAGTTGTTTATGACCATGGTATTGCAGCATGACTATTATGACCATTACAGCAACTGAAACCCTATCTATGACACCCAAGATTGCAGTAGAAAAAATTCCTGAAGTGACAGCTATATAGAGGGAGACTTAGAAAAAATGGTACATGGCAGAGAATTCAAAAATAGTCTATGCAATGTACTGGCTTTTTGGGATCCTAGTCTGTTTGGATGATCACCTTCCCAGACCTGGAGGGAAGGGGGAGGACCTTGAAGTTCCCACAGGGCAGGAAACCCTGACCTGCTCTTAGGGATGGAGAGGGAGGAGGAGAGGGAGTGGGGGGAGTGGGAGGGTGTTGGGAGGAGGGGAGGAAGTGGAAATTTTTATAAATTAATAAAAAAAGAAGTTTTAAAAATAAATAAATAAATGAAAAAAAATAGTCTGTGCAAATGGTCGGAAGGCATCGATAGTCCAGTGATAAAGGCAAGTGTATTATCCACAAAAAAGAATAAAGTTTATTTAAAATGCCAAGGGAAGACTTACAGACATTAGCAAAACTGAAGCGGTAGTTAAAATATACCAACCAAAACGGCCGGTGAGATGGGTCAGCAGCAGGTAAACACTTGTTTCTGAGGCTGATGACTAGGCTCAGTACCTAGGAAGAACATGGTGGACTCTGATCTCCATGCTATGCCATGGCACATGTGCACAGCTGGCACTTGAGTAGGGCAATCTGAAGTCCCTGGGGTCAGCTGGATGGGACTTCTGTGCCTGCCCATCCTTGATGCACACACCAGGTGGTCATCTGATAGGTGGGTGGGGCCTGTTACCATCATAGTGCTATGTGTTCACCTCCCTAGGGAGTCTAGATGAAGAGGTTACACATTTTCCTCAGTCTCGAGTACTCAATAGCTTCTTAGGCCTGGTTTTCTAAAATGATTTTAATAGGCGCAATGTACAGTGCTACATTTATAGGATAGCACCCTTCATAATCTCAGGAATAATTCATTCATCAGCCTGTGCTACATAGGTAGTGTCAGATAGCTGGTGCTGTTCGCATGTCCACTCAGAAACAAAACTGCTTGTAAAATGAAGTCTCTCAGGTCAAGACAGTCTGGAAAGACACTGTTTTACTTAGATCCTGGTACAACGTGATTTCAAAGGTCAAGAGTTCCAAGAGCATCATCGCATGACCCTCTCAGTAGAGAAGTTGGAAGATGTAACATGAGGGGGCCTGTTTGTTATTTGGGTTTTCTGTCCCGCCCAGTTCCCCCAGCCTTTTTAGCCCCCGAGAAAAATCACACAAAGGACTCCGTAAGTTATAATGCTGATTGGCCCATTAGGTCAGGCTACTTATTAGCTAACTCTCACATCTTGATTAACCCATTTTTCTGATCTACTTTAGCCATGTGGCACAGTACCTTTTTCAGTGGGGCAGCTTACATCCTGCTGCTTCGGTGGTCTGGGCAGGAGTGGGAGGAATCAACTTCCTCCTCTCCAGAATTCTGCTCTCCTTGCATCATTTCCACTTCCTGTCTGGTTTTCCCGCCTACACCTCCTGCCTGGCCAATCAGCGTTTTATTTAAAACATGATTGACAAATTACAGACAATTCTCCCGCACTAGGAAGATGCCTTGTACTTTTCCTTGTTGCCTCCTTCTGGCTATTTCATTCAGTCATTCACTCTGACAAACGCTTGAAGTGTATCTACTTACCACCACAGCAGGCGGGATTTCAAGGACTGGGATAAAGAGATGGAAAATGCAAAGAATGTCCCCCCCCCCAAGGAACCACATTCTGGTGGGGGAATGTAAAAAATAAACATATAAGTCTCTTCTTGAAATAGATAAGTATAAATAATATTATGTGTAAAGAAAATTATAAGACAAGATTAAAAATGGCTTTGAGGGGTCAAGAAATCTACGAAAAATGAGCTAGGAACTATAATACTCTTTTGAGAAAAGCTATAGACAAGCGATCTCTTTCTTCCTGAGGCTCCAGACTTACTATGTAAATCTGTCTATCTCTCCCCAGCAATCGATTCAACAAACTAAAAGATCTGGGGAGGGGAAGCCACAACCAGACCACAGACAGGCTTGCTAACGCCTGAGCCCAGAGCAATGATTGCCTGGCTGTCACTGACCTTCAGAAGGCCTTCCTAGTTACTGTTCCCAAACAAGTAAGACCGACTCCAAAGTGAGTCACTGGGAAACATTCAGGGATGCACCCCTAACCTGTCTCCTGTAGCATGGCAAAGCGACCCAGGCTTATGTCAAGGGCTTCTCCAGAGAACACAGAGAACTCCAGAGAGAAGCCTTCCATCCAAAGCCTATTGCTTCCTGAGAACAAGGCTGAGTCTAAGCCATAATATTATTGTAACTGGCTACCAAGACTCTTTTTGTTTCTGTTTTTTTTTTTTTTTTTTTTGGTTTGGGCTTTTCTTTTTTGGTTTGGTGTTTTATTTGATGTAGCCCGAAATAAAGTATACAGGTCTGGATAGCATGAAAATCACTCCCTTGTATCAGTGGGTGCTCGCATCCCTCGCAGTCCTGATTACTTTTTTTTATTTTCTTCATCATTCTGTTCCTCATTTGGACTGTGGAGTGCTCAGTTCGGTGTTCCAATATGGGTCTCCATCTGTATCGCCATCCAACGTCGGATGAAGGTTTCCTGTGCCCTTGCCTTCATTGCTCACGATCTCTTTCCTTCTGCCTCTCATTTGGACCTAGGGAGCTAGGTCCAGTGTTCCAACGTGGTTCTCCGCCTCCATCTCCATCCATCGCCAGATGAGTGTTCTATGGTGACATGCAAAATATTCATCAGTATGGTTGTGGGCCAAGGCCTGTTGCGAGCACCCACTGATACAAGGGGACTGATATAATGGGAGTTCACCAAGGCCTGTTGGACTGGGACTGAACGAGGACATGATCCAGCCAGATTCTCTGAATGTGGCTGGCCCGGAGCCTTTTTGAAAAGCCATTGACAATGACACTGGGACTTGCTTCCTCTGCATGTACTGGATTTTGGCGCTCCAGTCTGTTTGGACTCTCACCTTCCCTGGACCTGGAGGGAGGGGGGAGGAACTCGGGCTTCCCACAGGGCAGGAAACCCTGACTGCTCTGGGGGATGGAGAGGGAGGGGGAGAGGGAGTGGGGGGAGTGGGAGGGTGGTGGGAGGAGGGGCTGAAATGGAAACTTTTATAATTTAATAATAAATAAAAAAAATTTAAAAAAATTAAAAAAAAAAGAAAATCACAATGATTCCCCTGCCTCAGCCTATGGAGTGGTAGCAGTGAGATTTCCAGATGTGAACCACTGTACTGGTTACTGATAATGTCTTTTAAAACATTAAAAAAGAATTACCTCAGGTGGCCTTCAAATGTTGGGGGCCACATTATGATGACTTGTCACCTGGCAACTCCTCATTACTTCCTCTGCAAATTCCAGGAAGTCCTCTATGCTAAGCCTGAATGAATGTCAGCCTCGCAGGGAAGGTCTAAAGCCCCTCGATGAGTATAGCACTCAACAGAATTCTAGCTCCGAATGGCAAGAAACTGCATGGTATCACATTGGGCGTTGATGGCCAACTGTTTCAAAACAAAAAGCAGATGTCCTCATTTAATAGTAGAGTCACTGCAATTTTGCTCAAAGTCTCCTATGTACGATACTATACATAATGATTTGAAACAATATAGTCATCTTTTGTACTTCTTTATAGCTTTGAAAGAAGACAAGCCACTATTTTAAGCATTAAAATACCTTTCTTTAAAAAGCCCAATGTTGACCTACAAAGTCTTTATTCTACAGAAGATGTTTACTTTAAAGATAACACACAACACACATTCTCATACATATTTCCTAAGTAGAAGAAGATCTTATGTATTATGGCAAGTTTAGTGTGGTTTCATTTTAGGAATAAAAAAGCAGTGTATTGGATATTATATATGAATAAATTGTAATTAAATGTAACCAAGGAATGTGTGTGTTTTTAATTTAAAAATCCACTCTAATTTTAATAGATATTTGGGGGGTTCGTTTGGTTGGTTGGTTTTGGTTTTGGTTGGTTTGGTTTTAGTGTTTCAAGACAGGGTTTCTCTGTGTAACAACCATAGCCGTCCTGGAATGCACTTTGTAGACCAGACTGGCTTTGAACTCATAGAGATTCACCAGCCTCCACCTCCAAAGTGCTGGGATTAAATGCATGTGCCAACACGCCCGGTTTTAATCAATAGTTGAAGTACAAAAAAAAATAGACCACCTGATTTGTGGATCATGGTTTTGGCTAAAAATGGAGTGTCCTCTACAAGTCCATCTATGGAGGGCTTGCTCCTCACCTGGCGCTGCTATGTAGTGAAGAAGAAGAAAGTTGAGGAAGTTGGGCCTAGTTGAAAGAAGCAGGTCATGGTGGTGGGGAGGCTTGGAAGGGCATGTTGTCTCTGGCACCTTTAGAACTCTCTGCTTCCTGTCTGCCATAGGATTTGCTGCTGCTATGTCCCACCATGTGCTCCCCAGCAGAAGGTCCTGTCTCACCAGAGCCCAGGAGCAGTGGAACCAGGTGTCCACTGGTTGGAACTTCTAAAAACATGAGTCAAAGTAAATATTTCCTCCTTTAAGTTTCTCTCATTTGTCTCAGCTACTCAATGTCTTGTAGCACACGGAAGCATGTTTTGGGCAACATTAAAAAAGTGCCACAAGGTGGTACATGCTTGGAATCCTGATGTGAGATTCCTCTCTGTATGCTGTGAATATCATTGGTTAATAAAGGAACTGCTTTGAGCCTATAGCAGGGAAGAACTAGGTGGGGAAAGTTAGGTTGTATGCTGGGAGAAAGAAGGGCAGAGTCAGAGAGAAGCCATGGAACTGCCGGAGACAGATGCTGGGAACTTTACCAGGTAAGCCACAGTCATATAGTGATACACAGATTAATATAAATGGGTAAATTAATATGAGTTAGCCAATAAGAAGCTAGAGCTAATGGGTCAAACAGTGATTTAATTAATATAGTTTCTGTGTGATTATTTTAGGGCTGAGCAGCCAGGAACTAACTAGCGGCTTCCTCCAACATAATCCCATTGCTTAGATAGCTGAGCCAGGAAGACTGAAAATTCAAGACCAGTCTGAGTTACATAGTGCAAACCCTCTCAATAAAGCAAATAAACAATGGTTAAGATACTCAGTAAGCAATTCCTCTGTTCTCCAGTCACCAAGCATCCCTACGAGATATTCCTTACATTCCTCACCAACTCTCTCCCAACCAGTCATAACATGCTAATTATTGAAGTCAACACTTCCATGTGAATGTCCCTCTTTCTTCAGCTTTACCACTCCCAGCCCCAGTTCTCCCCATTTCAATCTGCAGAGACATTTGTAACATTTCCACAGAGGGTTAATTTTATCATGTCAGACTAGAGATTCCAATTTTTGCAAAACTTCTAAAGAACACATTTCCAGTCTACCATATCCAAATCCACATGTCTCCAGTCCACCACAGGCTAACAGAAAAGCAGCCAGGTGGAATAAGCACACCAGATTTTTGGGGAGTCTACTGTTTATCATTTACAATCTAATACTATAACTAAACCTATAGTCATTTGACGTGGGATGTTCTTCTGTATATATGTGGCTTTTATTGGTTGATGAATAAAGTTGTTATGGCCAATGACTTAACAGAGTAAAGCCAGGTGGGAAATTCAAACAGAGATACAGAGAGAGAGTAGGTGGAGTCAATGAGACATCAGGTAGTGTTCAAAGAAGAAAGATGCCTAAACATTACCAGTAAGCTACAGCCTTGTGGTGATACAAAGATTAACAGAAATGTGTTAATTTGAGGTGTACGAGCAAATTAGGAATATGTCTGAGCCATTGGTCAAACAGTGTTGTGATTAATATAGTTTCTGTTTGATTATTCAAGTCTGGGTGGCCAGGAAATGAAAGCGCAGTCTCCTTTTACAAATAGTGCCCAAACGTTTGGCAATAATTTCCACATAAAGTCTGAGAAAGCCTTTAAAAAAGATTCTAGACAGACAAGAGCAGAGTCAAGTTCAACTTCTTGGTAACCATCTTTACTCAAGTAGACTGTTTGCTGGAGGCAGGCAGAGATGTGGCTTTTTTGAGAGAGACTTCTTGGCTCAACATTAGCAGCAAAAATCTTGCAGCTCTTTTAAGAGGCTGTGCCACTAAACACTTAAATGGTGCTTATGAACAGCTGACATCAGGCTTTCTTGGTGATGGCATGGACCTAGAAACTCCACAGAGGTGTGGCAATAAATCTGGCTCCTGCCAGTACCTCCACCATGAAGCTACACTATCAGGAAGCTAAAGAATGGGGTAGAGCCAGCTGCCAAAGCCATAGCTCTAATCCTAGCCATGCTGCTTAGCAGAGTTAAGACTCATGTAGTCAGAAGAAGATAGAGATACACAGTAAAGACGGATTTAGATAAAAAAAAAATCTCTAAGTGGCTTACAGTGTGTTTAAAAATATACATAGGATTGGGAGTGCAAAGAAAAAGAATAGAGAAAGTCCTTTAAAAAAGAAATAGAGTAGCCAGGCATGGTGGCACATGCCTTTAACCCTAGCACTTGGGAAGTAGAGACAGGTTGGTCTCTGTGAGCTTGAGACCAGACTGATCTACAGAGTGAGTTCCAGGACAGTCAAAAATACACAGAGAAACCCTGTCTCAAAAAAACAAAAATTAAAATTAAAGGAAATAGAGTAAGAAAAAAAAGTCATGTAAAGTTGGAAAATACACAGAGAGTCTGGATACTGTATTGACTGCTGAGGAAGGAGCAACAACTGCTAAAAGACATTTGATTATAAATGCTGCTGGATTAATCCAACCTGTATTTGTTGAAAATGCCTTGACTTCAAAATTTAAGTCAAACAATATGTTATTTTGGAGAAGAAGTTTTGCTTTTTTTCCCACAGGAAATGAGAGACTGTGGATTCATTCTGGGTTAAGAAAAATCAGGTTTGAGGAAGACCCACTGAAAAATCTCTAATGGGAACAGATGGCTCAATTTATCCAAAGTTTCAGAGCACCTCTGTTGCAGGTTCCTCTGAGTTCTACATCCAGAATAGCTTCAAGACTGCTGACTGAGATGATCAAGCCTCACAGAATACTCTAGTCAGGATTTGACCATAAATCCTAAATTTTCTTTGGGTTCCCATAAGATTACCAGCACCCCAATCAGCGAGAAGTAGCCTAGAAAACTATGCAGTGGAATAACGCTTTTGTACACTGTAAAGATCTGTCACTAGTATTAGTTTAATAAAACACTGTTTGAACAGTAGTCAGGAAAGAAGTATAGGCCAGACAACCAGACTAAGAGAATTCTTGGAAGAGGAAAAACAGAGTGAGGCACCAGCCAGACGCAGAGGAAGCAAGATGAGAATGCCTCACTGAGAAAAGGTATCAAGCCACGTGGGTAAACATAGACAAGAATTATGGGTTAATTTAAGTTGTAAAAGCTAGGTAATAATATGCCTGACCTAATAGGCAAAACAGTTTATAATTAATATAAGCTTCTGTGTATTTATTTGGGACTGAACGACTGCGGGACCAGGGCGAAGATTATATCTGTTACTTGTCTTGTTGCTCCAGGGAAACACCTGACAAATGCAACTTAAGGAAGGAAAGGTTTGCTTTGCCTTAAAGTTTGAGATACAGTTCACTGTGGCAGGGGAGTCGTGCTGGGGTAGCCTGAGGTAGCTGGCCACACTGCATCCAAAAGCAGAGAGAGGCATGAATGCTTTTCTTAGTTCCCCTTCTCTTTTTACAACCCTGAACTTTAGCCCATGGACTGTATCCATCTCCACTTAGGTAGCATAATCTAGAAAACCCATCCCAGACATTCACAGGGGCCTGCATCCATGGCAACTCTAAATCCCATCAGGTTGATCATATTAACCACAGGGCCATACACTTCCCCAATGCCTACGGCACTCTGCACAGATTCTTAAAACTGCGGGTTGCAGCTTCGTATGGGGTCACGCAACTGAATATGGGGCTCCTGAAAAGTTTGGAAACAATAAAGGTTTTCGGCACACTCAACAACCAAAAAGTTAATTTAAAGTCAAATGTATAATGAATCGAAGGTGTTTCTGGCCATGCTAACCTGTGCTGTACCCTTAAGACTTTACTGCAGGCTTGATTCTGATCACATGTGTGCTCATTGCAGCGCTTGCTCTGTGCATGCATCACACCACACAGTGCCAAGAAACGCTGCCTCAAATACCACGGCTCAGGTTTGAGACAGCTGAATGTTACAAGTGGCAGGGGTTTTGCTATATGTGCCAAGTTTCTACTCTTATAAAAATAGGTCTAATTATAAAAAACACTTTTAATAGTTTCCTACAGGACCCCCATCAACAGGTATCAATGAGTATATCTTTGGGTTTCACTGTTTTATAATTTTTTGTTTTTAAAATTATTGTTTCAGTTGCTAAAATATTGCTGAAAATGGTCCTTAATATACTTTTACCTGCTTGTACTAAGTAATCATGCAAAGTAGCATTTTCAGCATCGATAGACATAATATGGAACTAGAAGGGCTGGAGCTGTAGCTCAGCTGGTAGAGGACTTGACTGGCATGCACAAACCCCTGGGTCCATTCACCACCACCACATAAACTGTGTTCCCAGTACTCAGTTGGGGAGGCAGGAAACCCCGGAGCTCAAGGTCATGTTTGGCTACTTAAACTTTTGTTCTTTGACTTCTTCCCTTTTGATTTATTGTTTGAGGGTTCTTTTTTCTGAAAGTCACAAAATTGATAAGGCACCTTCTCAAGGTTTTATAAATGCTAATAATAACTTAGTGAGTGACTGGGTTTCTTGAGGTTACTTATAGGAGTTCTGGTAATGAGTCACAAAGAGCATGGGTAACAAGACAGCTGCGTCGCTGAAAAGTCATGTGAAATTTACATCTCTGGAGTTCCCGCTTGATTTAAAGACAGCTTCTCTGGTCAGAACACACCCTTCCCCACCAACTGTTACTGCTTATATAACCTTGGGGAGGAGCCTTGTAAATCTTGGAACTTTTAGGGGCTTCCTGTGTCTTGTAAGTTTCATTTACAACCTTGGCCTTGTCTGTTTCCTTTCCTTCCAGAGTCTGTGTGCCTGCATGTGTGTGTTGGTCCACATGTATGTACAGATGTATATGCATACATGTGCATATACATGTGGAAGCAAAAGGACACCTTTAGATATTGTTCCTCAGGAATGGGCCACCTTGCCTTTTTTGTGAGACAGCTTTTCTCACTAACCTGGAGATCACCAAGTAGGCCAAGGTGACTTGCCAGCGAGAACCAGGAATCTCTCTGTCACTGCCTCCCAGTGCTTAGATTAGAAGGGCTTTTTTCCCTGGTTTGTGGGGATTGGACTCAGGTCCTCTTGACTAATCCATCTCCCTACCCCACTTCCTGAGTCTTATAACCCTCCTCCCTCTAAGGGAGGAAAAGTTTCAATTAAGAGCTAATAGCCACACAACAGCGCTCCTGCTGCAGACCGACACCTGCGCACCGGTGTTCATATCTCAGGGGATGCAGCGAAGGCCGGATTTCCTAGCATAGCTTAGATCGTAACTGTTCCTCCAAAAGCCTCAATTCCAAAACCTTGGTCACCAGCCTATGGCACTACTGAGAGATTATGGAACCTTTAAGAGGTGAGGCTTGGTGGAAGGAAGTTAGGGCACTGGGGAATGCCCATGAAGGAGATACTGGGGCCCAGACCCCTCCTCTCTTTACTTCCCTGATGGCAGAAGGGCAGCACCCTCCTCCACCACGTGCTCACACCGTGAGTCTGTGCAGCCAGCAGTCCAAAGCAACAGGCTGAATGGCTTGTGGGCTGAAACCTCTGGAACAGGGCCAAAATATGCCTTCTCTTTAATTTTTCCTTTTTTATCTTATTTTATGTAAGCAGGGACATATGCAGCCCCAACTGGCCTTGAATTCACTATAGAATAGGGTGACTTGGAATTTCTGGTTGTCCAGTCTGTATCTCCCTAGTGCTGGGATTACAATAAATGCCATCACACTTAGCTTTCTCTATAAGGTGACATTTTATTAGCTGTGTATAGCAATATAAGCCTGCAACCCCAGCCCTTGGGAAGCAGAAGCAAGAGGATTATGAGTTCAAGACCACCACAGGCTGCATAGTAAGACATTATCTAAAAAAAAAAAGTTTATCAGGTATTTTGTTCAGTCCATCCCCCACTGTGGATCCCATCCGGATTCCCAAGCACAGTGAATGATTGCACCAATCAGACCTATAGAAGGTTCGTCGCTGATTAAAAATATTCCAGGTCCCTGCAGGAAGGGCCTCTGAGACAAGTACATTTGCCAGAGTCTTCTCTAGCTCCCTGCCTCTACGTGCCCCAGTGCAGATTTAGAGACTTTGTCTCTGAACCAATCACATTCTCAGAGGCTGTGAACCCAGTTAACCTGTCCCTTCAACTCCCTGTATTTCACCCATATCTACCTCATTGGTTACCACTCCTCACTCGACCCAGCTGGTCTCAACCCCACCCTCTGCCCTCAGCATTCAATGTTGCCAAATGAGAAACCGAAAACCAAAAACAATAGGGAAGGTTTGGGGGCGAGCTCTAACTCCCGTGCTGATCTCATATCACGTGACTTGGCAAGCAGCGAGTGAAAGGCAGAAGGGGAAGGCCCAACCCTGCTTTCCTAGGCTGATCACCACCATAGAAATTGCCAACACCTGTGGAGAGCGACCTCCAATCCCCTTGCCCAAGACCATGTTCTCTTTAAATCACCTAGGGATACAGCCAGCTGAGGCAAAATGCAGTTCTTCCGTATATGGTCAGAGAATGCAATATGATAGCCGTGCTTTCAGTTAGAAATGCCTGACTGAGTTTATGAAATATATTTTTTTAAAAAGTTAAAAAACAAACACAAACAAGAACCCGATGTCGAGTAGCAGATGGAGGAGAAGCAAGCGATGGTAGACAGGAAAACATCAAATCCAGCACTCAGAGACATCCCAGCGATGCCCGGAGCTCGATTGCAGCATCCAGTCAGAACCTTACCAGCATCCCACAGAAATCAACTGGGGAAGAACCTGCTGCTGTTTCGGACTGAGGGAGCCCTATTTGTGGCCCCACTGATGGGACATGCATTTTAAATGCCATGGCCTACCTTCACATGTCTCGATGCAAGGCCCAGAGCAATGTGCGAGGCTGAATATCTAGGGTGCCGGCGAATGTGCGGCTAGAGAGAGGCAGAACCTGGAGCAAAGCCAAGCCCTGTGAGTCGGTGTGGGTAAAGGGCCTTTTGCTTCCTGTCTGCTCATTTCATGGTCTGAACTTCAGCCCAGGGACTCACACTGTCTTTGGTTGCTGTGTTCTCCAGACAGGCTGCTCCTGAGGCAGTCTTTGTTTTTCCTGACCTTGACACTTTTACAAAGTAATAGCTCTAGATGTTCTGCCGAAAGATGTTTATCTTGGGTTTGGGTGATGCATTCTCCCCTGTTAAATTCAGGTTAAGAGAAGATAAACCACGGACATTATGATCGTCTCTTTCTGCTGCCAACAAGAAGCACATAGTGGAACTTGTCTCTTTGCTGTTGGTGGTGGCGTCCATCACTGGCCTTACAGATGTCTTCTGCATTTCCCTACTTAAAATGTACTGATTTTCCTTTTAGAATTAAAATTTTGTTGGGAGAGAGTTTGAGACTATGCAAATATCCTACTTTTTTCACTGTATTTTACCCACTAGTCCTTTGATGATTCTTACCTAAGTTAATTATTACTGCTAAATGACGACTTCCGATTTCTGCCCCTTCATCTACGTTTATTAATTGGCGGAAGAGTTATCTATCGTGCAGGAGGGTTTTTCTTTTGAAGGGGGCTGTTGAGATGTCTCAGCAGTTAAAAGTACATAGTATTCTTACAGAGGACCCATGTTTGGTTACCAGTATCCACTTTGGATGGCTTGGAATGGCCTGTTAACTCCAGCTCAAAGGGATCTGACGCCCTCTTCTAGCCACCTTAGGCATTGCACTTACCCACACATAACGTAAAATCAAAATAAAGTAAATCTAAACCATTCTTAAAAGTTTTTCCTTCTTGGAGGGTGGGGACAGAGGGGGATGGGGTAGGGACTGCAAGGAGAGGAGGGAGGGGAAACTGTGGCCATAATTCAAAATTAATTAATTAAGTTTTAAAAAGATTTTTCCTTCTCCTGGTATATGAAATCAATTATTTGTTTAAATTGACCATGAATTTGTCAAAACAATGTATTGTCACAATTTTAAGTTGTGGAAAGGTCAATGGCTGTTTACAGATAATGTGTCATGCTTTTCCGTGAATCTCTCCATTTTCTGCGTTTGGTTTTTGGAAACTTTTCCCATCAGTCTGAAAAGGTTTTGGCATGGTCAGAATTCTAATCTCTTACCTGTCATGCAACCTGCACATATTTGCTTCCAGATTTTGTTTTCTTTTGGTTTTTCTTTGTTTTTCTCTTGCTGTTGCTGTTGCTTGCACTTTTGAAAAAAAGACAGGGAATATATAGTAAATACCGTCTGCTTGCCTCCGTCTCTGGAGTATTATAACTGTCCATTTTTATCATGCAAACATCTTCTAATTTAACTTTTATGTGTATGGGTATTTTGCCTATATGAATGCTGTGCACTGCTTGCACACCTGGTGCCCTCAGAGGCCAGAAGAATGCATCAGATCCCCTGGAACTGGTTAGAAACAGTTGTGAGCTGCCATGTGGGTGCTGGGAATCAAACCTGCGTTCTCTGGAAGAGCAGCCAGTGCTCTTAACTGCAGAGCCATCTCTCCAGGCACCTATTTATTGTCTTTAATTTATATATAATAACCATGCATATTAAGCACTTTTTTATTCTTTCAGGTATTTTTGGTTTTCCAAGACTGGATTTCTCTGTGTAACAGTCCTGGCTGTCCTGGAACTCTCTTTGCAGACCAGGCTGGCCTCAAACTCACAGAGAGCTGCCTGCCTCTGTCCTCCGAGTGCTGGGATTAAAGGCGTGTGCCACCAACTATCCATCTAGAACACTATTTTTATGCCATTTTAATTAAGTTAATTTTATTTTTATAAGAGAGAGTTGGAATTTTTATTTTTTATTTTATTTTTGCTGTTTCGAGACAGGGTTTCTCTGTAGTTTTGGAGCCTATCCTGGAACTAGCTCTTGTAGACCAGGCTGGCCTCGAACTCACAGAGCTCTACCTGCCTCTGCCTCCCAAGTGCTGGGATTAAAGGCATGTGCCACCACTGCCCGACTGGAATTTTTATTAAGAGTGCATCAATATCTAAATAAATTGAATTTCTTACCTATGCAGAAGACACTAGGCAATGCAGTATACACAACCACAAATGCAGCATAATTTGTTCTGATGGGAATCCCATTAAATAGAATATTTCACAGTCCCATATTTTTAAATTTTTAAATTTCACTTCACATAGTGTCCTCTAGATTTATCCATGTGTCACAAATGACAGCATGTCTCATGTCATGATGAATGCAGTTAAATAATATTCCATTTTATATGTGTACCATGTTTTCTTTATCAAACTGAAAATCCTTACATACAGGAAAAATCAAAAGAATAAAGACACAACCTATGAGTAAATATGTGATAAGAAATTAATATCCAAAATATATAAAGAATTCTAAAATCTAAGTATCAAAGAAGCACAGATACTTTGATGTAAAAAAATGGGTAGCAGGTTGGGTGGTGGTGGCGCGCACCTTTAATCCCAGCACTCGGGAGGCAGAGGCAGGAGAATCTCTGTGAGTGTGAGGTCAGCCTGCTCTACAGAGTGAGTCCCAGGACAGCCAGGGCTGTTATGCAGAGAAACCCAGTCTCAGAAACACACACACACAATGGGTAGCAGACCTCAATAGCTATTTCTCTAAAGAAGCATATCAAACGTGCTTAATGTTGTTAATCATCAGCAAAATACAAATCAAAACGACTCCGCACCTGCTAGCATAGACATCATCCAAAGAGGGGGAGGGGAAGACAAGTGCTCTGGAAGAAGAAGGGGCTTTGATAAGAAGAAAGTGATTATCAGTGCCAACTACAGGTATAGGGTAAGTGGATAAAGATGTAACTGTTGGGGTTGAGAGACTGGCAAGGAAGTTAGTGGTTGCTCCAGGAAGCGCGCATAGTGGAAGTCAGCCTGGAGTACAGTGCCAAAGGGAATGGCGCTGCTGAAGTAGAGCGCGCTTTCAATGGCTGCACAGCACCTGCCACCTCCCGCCCCTCCTCCTGCCCCGTGCCGCTTTGCCTCTTGCTTTGTGTGTATGATCACACCACCTAATTGCACCAGGACTGCAATTACACAAACTGGGTAAAAGAAACTGTTAGCGAACTCAAAGACTACCATGATTCCTTAAATATTTACCCTTCATTTGGTATTTAATTTCTCAAAGTAAAATATGAAATTCGAATATTAATGGGGCAAACAGCTGGTGCTGAATATTCAAGCTCCCAGAGGAATGCATTAATGAATCATTTCTAAAGCTGGACAGTTGCGTGTGTAATCTGTTCAAGGCATAGGAACAGTGTCTTTTCTCAATTATAGCTTTCTAAAATGAATATAAATACCTCATTAGTCTGTTCCCAAAATGGAAATGGCCCGTTGACATTATAATAATCAATGTTTGTTGGAAGAAATTAACGCATTAACCTAGTGTGAAAAGGAGAAATGAGACACGGAGTTTCAATTTTGCAAAATTAAAGATGTTCTAGCAGGGAGATGAGTTGCAACTCAGTGAAAGGCACTTGCCTAACGTGTACAAGGCCATCAATACTGAGAACACAACAAAAACAAGGTTCCGTGCCATGGATGTGGTAATGGTTATACGGCTAGGTAAATACATTTAATGTCACCGAACAGGGCACTTACAGTAAATAAAATGGTCAAGTCTCATAGTACCCATTTTATTACAAATTTTAAAACATTTATTTTAAAAGGACCAACAGTTTGGAAGCTAAAGCACCAGGATCATAAGTTCGAGGCCAGTCTAGGCTATATAGCAAGACCCTGAAGTTAGGAAGAAAGAAAATTAGGAGGAAGGCAGACAAACAGACCCTCTGGGTATGGAAAAGGACAAAGAAAGAGAAAGAGAGACAAAGAGAGAAATATCATCCTCTGGTTCCACTGCGTATATCATGTAAAATTCATCCATCCATCCATTCACTCATTCAATAGGCATTTATCAAATGCCAGCAATATGCAAAGCCTATGTATTGGTGCTAAGAATAAAATTTTTAAAAAGCTCTTTTGGTGCTTACTTATACTTGTAAAGATTTGTTTTCTTTTTATTTATGTGTATGCATATGTGTCTGTGTGACTCTCTCACATGGAGAAGGGTGTGGGTGCCCATGGAGAAACAAGTGTCAGGTCCCCTGTAGCTAAAGTCACGGGTAATTGTTAGCCGCCCAGTGTGGGTGTTGTGAACTGAACGTGGGTCCTTTGCAGGAGCAGCAAATGCTGAGTCATCTCTCTAGCCCCTGGAACTAAGTTTTAATGGTAGAAACAGAAAATATACAAAGAAAAAGACAAATATGAAATGTCTCAGATGGTGGTGTAGAAAAATAAGACAGAAAAAAAGACGTAATGTGATGGGGAGGTTGTAGGTTTTTTTGGAGTGCTGGGCATCAAATCAAAAGGCCTCGACATTCTAGACAAGTGCTCTAACACTAAGCTATGTCCTCAAGCCAGGGATACTCCATTTCTGTGGGCTTCATATCTGCAACATCAATCAACCACAGACCGAAAGTATTCCCAAAACATAGCATCTAGCTTGGCTTGATGATGTACAGACATGGCATTCCAGCACTGGGCACCTAAAGTCAAGAGGATAACAACTTTACAGGCCATTCTGAATTACATAGATACCCTGTCTCGAAAGCCAAATAACATGAAATGGAAAACAAGAAACGATGGGGGGAATGTCACATTGCTACCCAAAAAGTCCAGTTCTTTTTTATTATTTTCTAAGCAATATAGGATAACTACTCTTCAACTAGCAGTTATATTACACTGAGAATCATTAGTCATTGAGAGATTATTTGGAAGCACACAAGAAGATGCCTATACTTGTATGAAGACACTGTTGTTTGCTATGGTGGACTCAGTCATGGATGGGTTTTGGCGTTCTTGGGGAGTTGCGCAATCAGTCCACTGCATACTAAGGGATGACAGCATGAGGAAGGATTCATTGACTAAAGGGCATTTGGATACAGCTCTGGACAAACAAACAAAAAGGAGCAGGCCATGCAGACATCATCAAAAAGAATCATTTTAAGCAGAGGAAAAAAG